GAATAAAGTGTTATTTGTGTTCAATGCAGAGCCTGTGTTGGAAGGCAAGAAAATCCCTGAGCTGAAAGAGTGATCGCCCACTGGGGCCAGAAACGGCCACCACCCTGCTCCAGCTCCCCCGCTGCCCTGTTTGGAGAGGGGAGAGGGTCTGGAGAAGTAAAACCCAGGACACGCATGGAGGGGAGTGTCCGTTTAATCCCAGCACATCCTCTGCTGTCCTGCTGTGTCGTCGGGGGATGGCGAGTACACTGGACAGCTTCACTTTTTCTTGGGCTCCTTACAAGCCACCACGTACCTCTGGGCCACATTGAGGGGAGGGGAATAGCCGTCTGCATAGGAGGTGTCTTCAAACAGGACCGAGTAGTCATCCTGGGGCTGTGGGGGAGGCAGACAGGAGGGGCTGCTCAGAGACCCCAAGGCCAGGACCCCTTCCCCCAGCCTAGACCACAGGAGCCTCTGGGCCCTGGACTCTCAGCCAATCTTGTCATTGTTCACTCTGGGGTCAAGAAGTGTCTCGGCCCAGTTCCTGCTGCTACAGAGCTCCTTTCTCAGTGGTGGGAGGTCCAGGGCAGGGAACAGGCGGGGAGAGGAAGGAAACTCACTCCCTTCCCAGTGAGGCCATAGCTGGAGGGGTCTGCTGCCTTTTGGGACTCTGTTCAGAGGACTGAAGGAAACCCAGAGGGCGGCAAGCAGGGAGCCTGACCTCAGGTGGCTTGTGTCCCATGTCACCAGGAGCATGACGGGACAGGTGCCCGGGGCTCAGGGCAGGAGCTTCCCATCTCACAGCTGATTCTCCTGGGGATGCAGAAGGGATGCCGCTGACTCAGAGCTTGCCAAGGCTGCCAGGGCTGGCACGGAGAGAGTGGTCTTTGGGCTGGTCAAGGTGGCTCACGCCTGCAATCCCAGCACTTTGGGAGGCCGAAGTGGGTGGATCACCTGAGGTCAGGAGTTCAAGACCAGCCTGGCCATCATGGTGAAACTCCATTAGAGTGGGGTCTTTGGGATGGAGTGGAAAAAGGAAGGCAGCTGGTGGGTCCCGTTAGCTTGGAGGCTATGAGATGAGGACAGGGGGGAGGGAGTGGGGAGAGGACCCCCAGCTGTAGGGTCCAGCCCTACAGGGTTCTGTGAGCTGCTCCTGGCTGAGGTGGAGACGAGAAATTGTAGAAATAAAAGACACAAGACACAGAGATAGAGAAATAGAATTTGGGCCCAGGGGTCCATTGCTACTCAGATCTCGGAGACCAGCAGTGGCCAGACGCTCTCACTTTGAGTTGCAAATCTGGGGCAGGGTAGGTAGGGCGTGGCCTTGGTGGTCAGAGACTGGGTGCAAGGTAGATAGGACGTGGCAGCGGTAGGGTCAAGTACATCACATGTCATTCACGCAGGGGCTTAGGACTTTCTGGCACCCGAAGTGAGGTAAGGAGCATAATGCATCAGCACCTTTTCCATACTTACCAAGAAAGAACTACAACATTAAGATTTATATTACTATTACTGATTATCCTTTCTAAGACAAAAGGAACCAGGTGCAGAAGTAGAACATGAGTGGACGTGGAAGGTGACCACTGAAGCCGAGCATCACACAGAGACAGTTAACCCCCGGATGTCTGTGGGCCTGCCTGACACCATCAGGCCTTACCACAAGAGCTTGGAGAGGCGGAGTTCTCTCCAAACTTCCCCAGGAAGGAGACATCTCGGCCATTTTGGACATCTCCTCCCCTAGCTGGCTAAATAGCAGGTGCTTTCACAGCACTGGCACTGCCGTACAGCCGAGGCGCCCTCCAGCAGCCCTCAAGCGGGCGTGACAGAGGGCTTAGAGCATCTTGCCTAGTGTCATTCATTTCACAATGTCACCCCAGGTTCACATTTCTGACCTGACAGGCATTAGTAAAGGAATTAAGATCACCTATAAATACCTGAGATCACATATGAATAATTAATAAATACTCCAGTTATATTTCTAGTTACGTTCTTCATTATTTATTTGGAAATAGGCTGAGGCCTTTTGCTCCTGCCTCAGTGCTTATGGGATCTTGCCACTACACCCAGCCTGTATGATCAGCCTGTTTCTGACATCACCCATGGTCTCTCCACTGGAGGCTGCTTTAGCTGCTATGGGGGTGTGTGGATCAGGGTACGGTAGAAGCAGGTGGCCTGGGGATACCGGGCCAGCAAGAGCTGCTCTTTCTGGAACAAGGCCTCAAGGTCTGTCTTGGGGTTGGCCTTCCATTGGGGCAGCAGGGTGACCCGCACCAGCTCAGGCTGTGTCTCCTGGGGGTAGAGGGGCTTGTGTCAACAAGTGGCCAGGTGGGGAAGCTCCTTCCCGGCTGTTATGCTGCCCCCCAGGCTCTGTGCCCTGCCCTGGCCTGGACACTCACTCTTTGCCCTCTTCATCAATGTTCTCTACCTCATACCTGGGGACAAAAGAAGGAAAATGCTGGATGCAGCCAGGGTCGTGGTCCCTGTCGGGGAGTGAAGAGGATGGGGACAGCCTAAGGACCCAGTGCTCCCTGCACAGCAGGCCCCGCCACAGCACCCTCTGGGGACCTTTTCTCCTGCTGTGCAGACAGGAAGCAGAGCCAAAGCCCAGGCAGGTGGGGTGACAGAGAGTAGCCCTGGGGCTGGTGTCACTCACTTGGTGGTGTGGCTGTAACTGACCACCTTGGCCAGTTTCCATCCAATCCTTGTCCCCATGCATGGCCATCACCCGGGTAGCCACCTTGTCCCCTGAGGCAGGGATGGTTCCACAGAGGGGTGGGGGCCTGTGAGTGAAACAAAGGGTCAGTCCCAGCCCCTGGGCACCAGTCCCTCCCTTGCAGCTGCTTCCTCACTTGTCACCAGGCTTCCCGATCCACAGGGCAGAGTCATGGTTGACTGCTACTGCCAGGTCACCAGCACCCCTCCACGCATGGTCTTCTGGGTCGGCTCCGAGTCATTGTAGAGACCCATGATCTTGGCTGCTGCGGGACGGAAGGGAACGCTGAGGCCCCAGGGACAGGTGCCGGCTTTATCCCCCCTAGCCTGCTGCACTGAGCCGTTGGAGGAGCCCCTGGGAGCCCCAGCTCTAGAGTAAACCCGAGGGCCCAGTAGGACTGTTGCCCCATCTGCCAGGTGTCCTACAGGGGCTGCAGCGCTCAACTACAGATGGGTGAGATGGCAGCACAGCAGGGAACCAGGCAGGGACAAAGCGGGTTCCAAGGTGCTGGTCAGGTTCTCTTCTTGATGCCAGTGCTGACACAGAAGTGTGTTTCGTTAAAATTTCCTAAAATTCGAAGGGCCCCACGGGGGTGGCGGCGAGGCCAAGGTGCTTTTTGGTTGTCCACCTGCTCTACTGCCTGAACCCCTGGCACCAGGGCCGCCTCTACCTAGGGTTCACAGTCAACCCTGCTCCTCGGATCCAGCAACGCAATGGGGACGGCACAAAAGGCAGGGTCCAGACAGGGTGCGGTGGATCAGACCTGCCATCCCATCATTTTGTCATCCCAGCACTTTGGGAGGCCCAAGCGGTCGCATCACTTGAGGTCAGGAGCTGGAGACCAGCCTGGCCAACACGGAGAAACCCCTGTCTCTACTAAAAACACACAGAATTAGCCAGTGTAATCGGGGGTGCCTGTAATTCCAGCTAGTCAGGAGGCTGAGGCAGGAGAATCGCTTGAACTCGGTGCGGGGCGGAGGTTGCAGTGAGCCGAATCGCGCCATTGCATTCCTGGTGAGACAGGGAGGGCTTCTGTGCCAGGAGGGAGGCTTCCTGGAGGAGGCTGACCCCGTGGGGCACAGGCCTGATGAGAGGGGGACTGGCCAGGCCTGTGACATGGGCGAGGCATCCAGTGCGGGAACGGGGCCTGCCGCAGGAGAGGAGCGTGAAGAGGAGGTGGTACCCTGGGAATCTCGGCGGTGGAACTCCGGGAGGAGCTGGCTGTGACCAGGGTGATGACCCAGGATGGCGTCCAGAGTAGGGGTCTTGGTGGGCACGCTGGGGTGGGGCGCAGGAGGAGAGCAGGGGTGACAGGTGGGTACCTGGGCTGGAGGCGGGGCCTGAGATGGGAGGTGCAGGGGGCGTTCCTTCGGGCAGGGGCGTGGCCCGAGATTGACAGGTGCAGGGGCGTTCCTTCAGGCAGGGGCGGGGCCAGGGGCTCCGCAGAAGCCCGGACTGAGGACCCCGCTCTCGGGTCGGATTGAAGGGACCCGCGGTGAGGCGCGACGGGGCTCACAAGGACACTCCTATTCTCCTCCCCAGGGAGATGGTGCTCATCTCGCACGGCTTCCCATCCGCCGTGGCCGACCTTCTGGTAAGAACACGGCGCGGCGGCGTGTGGCTTGGGTTTGGGGTCCGACCCCTGCCCGACCCGGCCCTGACGCCCCCCACCCCCGGACCCTGCAGCAGTTGGAGTGGGTCTGGCTTCCTCGCCCTGGGCGTGCCTCCCGCTTCCGCTGCTTCGCCATTTCCGCCTAGACCTCTGCGGGCCTCGCCGCTAGGTCGGCTGGACTTCGGGCCTCCCCCGCCCCAGGGCGCCGCGCAGGTCCCTTTGCTGACGCCGAGCCTGAGCCGGACCCGGACCCGGGACCCCAGAGGCCTGTGCGCCCTGCGCCCTGCGCGCTTCAGGGGAGGATCGTCCCAGGCAAGGGAGATGCATCGTCCCGACGACTTCGGATACAGTTGTTTGTTGAAGAACGAGAAAACGCCTTGACACTTTTGCGGTCCTGTCCCCGTCTCTAAGATGGGGATGATAGTACTTCTGGCCATTCATGAGCACAGCAGGATCTGCCTTTTCCCTTTGACTGGAAGATTCTTCTCTACGCCATCTGTCTTGATAACCTGCCACCTCCACAGAGAGGCCTCCCCTGTCTCCCGATTTAAAATTGCAGCTCTGAGAAGCTGGGCACGGTGGCACATGCCTGTAGTGCCAACTACTGGGAAGTCTGAGGTGAGAGGATCGCTTGAGCCCAGGAGCTGGAGGCTGCAGTGAGCTCTGTTTGCTCCATTGCACTCCAACCTGGGCGAAAGAGCAAGACTCTGTCTCTAAAAAGATAAACTAAAATTGCATGTCTTGGGTACTTCACCATGGCTCCCTTTCCTGAATACTTATCTTACATGCTGCGTGTTTTATTGATCTCATCAGTCTCTCCCATCCCAACCCTTGTACTAAACTGCCCAAGGGCAGCTCTCGTCACTGCTGGAGAACCGAGTCCCACAGAGTCAATGGCTAAAAAACAGTTAATGAAATAACGGATGATGGGCAGGCGGTACTAAGTTCACCTTAAGTGTGAGTGAGTGGAAGACTAGCCCTGCAGAGATTCAGTGACTTGCTGGCGGTTGCTGAGCTGCCACGAAGTTCAGCCTGGTTGCAGTGCTCCAGGCTGTGACTCAATCAGTCACTGCTGATGCTCACGGGACCTTCACCAGCTTAGTCCCAGAGGGCAAGGATTTTAACCCCCCACCTCCATTTCCTTATCTGTAAAATGCAAATATGGAGCTGTGTAACGCCCGGAACAGTGCCTGCTGCACAGAGGCTCGCTGCCAGCTCCCTCTCCCTCCTTGCCTCTTACCTGCCTGCTGCCTGGGACTGGATGAACAGGTGCCTTTGTGTTGCTCTGACCCTGGCTGCCCGCCAAGGGCCCATGTGACCTGCCTGGCAGAGGAATTCCTTTGGGAAGAACCAGGGCAGCTTCGGTCCATAGAGGGCCGATGCCTAGGTGAGCGCAGTCCCCCAGCACCAGCCTGGTCCAGCTCTGGGAAGAGGGTGCCCAGTTGTATAAGCCAGGCTTGGGCAGCCAAGTCCTCATCTTGATATTCAGGGCCCAGCCTGGAGGGGGCTTGTGATGCCTAACTGTATCTCTCTGGCCCCATGCCTTGGTAGCTGTATCACTGCTTTGGGTGACCTGATCTGGCTGTGCGGATGGGCCCGGAGGAAATAGTAGAAGACTTGGAATTAGAAGATGTGAGTGGGCTTTGGCCCCAGCCTTGCCACCCTACTCTCTGCCCTGGGCTGTCTGTCACCAACCTTCTTTCCTCTACAGACACACTGGACAGCCCTGCTCGGGACCTGATCCTCAGCGTCCCTAACACCCTCCTAATACCGGTGGCCTAAGGGAAGTCCTCAAAGGCCGGTGGGACATCCACCTCTGTCAGTCTCCAGGCTCTTGACACCTTTGCCAGAAAGAATTTAAGGACAAGTTAGAAGGCATGAATGTAGGGAGATTTCTTGCAGACCAAAAGTATACACTCAAGAAGGGGAATGTGGGGGTCATGAAGAGTGTCTCATGTCCTAGGAGGTTTGGGGCTGAACCTTTATGAGCTTCTTTAAAGATGGTATATTCATGAAGATTCCAGGAAAAGGTAAAGATTTCTCAAAATCGTGGTGCCACAATTTACATCCAAATACAGGTGTTCCTGGAGCTGTTGTGGCACTGGTGGGTGTATGATTTAACATCTTACTGATCATATTCCTCCTTTTTTTTTTTTTTTTTTTTGAGACGGAGTTTTAGCTCTTGTTACTCAGGCTGGAGTGCAATGGCACAATCTTGGCTCACCACAACCTCCGCCTCCTGGGTTCAGGCAATTCTCCTGCCTCCGCCTCCTGAGTAGCTGGGATTACAGGTACACACCACCATGCCCAGCTAATTTTTTGTATTTTTAGTAGAGACAGGGTTTCACCATGTTGACCAGGATGGTCTCGATCTCTCGACCTCGTGATCCACCCGCCTCGGCCTCCCAAAGTGCTGGGATTACAGGCTTGAGCCACCGCGCCCGGCCTTACTGATCATATAATGAGATCCTAGGTGAAAGGTTTCACCTAGGATCAAATGCAGCGCCATGTTGGGTCTGGTTGGTTGTAGCCAGCTTGGTCCTCATCCTATTTTTCAGGAACTTATTGGCCCTTAGCACATGCAAGTATTTCAAGTTTCCTTCTGATCATGTGAAACTGCAGCCTGGGATTTTCTAGTCTCCAGCTATCACCCTGTATTAATCTCACATTCTTGCCTATTTTCTATGCCATCTGGAGCGGGTCCAGCTGGTTTTTACCGGAGTGCAATACAAAGTCTGAGCCAAGGGTACCTCCTGATGGTTACTGAAGGCAGAGGCGGAGCTAGTGGCCTGAGGACCTGTCAGTCAGGATCACAGAGGAGGGAGGAGGGGCCGTGGCCCTAACAGGTGAGCAGCCTCCCCTCTGCCTGGAAACCCCATGCCTTGGATTTCCCCTGCTTGCCTCTGAGTTGACGGAATTCTTGGAAGGCCTGGGAGACTCACCTTTACTTAGCTGGTTACCTGTCTCGTACCCAGCTTGACCTTGGACTTTCAATAGTGAGGACAAAGAATGAGGAGGAGGATGGGGGGATGCCCTCCTTCCACAGGGCCCCGTGGCTTCCAAGCCCCAACCTCCCCCGCCCTCTGTCTGCAGAGCCTCCTTCAAACACAGGGAAAGAAAAGCACCTGCCGGGGCTGCTGTTCTAGGATCTTCTATTGATATTCTGTGAGGTCCCCTGGGAGCCATGAGGCTGGGGCTGTCTCCCAGGGCAATGGGACTCCAATGTCCTTGCTCTTTCTTCTTCTGTGCATCCATGCTCTGCTCCACCCCTGCCCCTTCACTCTGCCCACACACATCACTCCAGGCTGGCCTTGTGGCTGGAGCCGGGAATACCTGCGCTACTGAGGGCCTGTGGGCTGCACTAGACCAGAACCCCTGGCGCCTTCATGCATGGCCTGGAGCCAGCAGTTAGGTAACCTTTAACAGGCCTGCTTATCTCAGCCTTCTCCTCCAACCCCTCCCACTTCTTCTCTGGGTCAATTAGAGAAAGCTTGTCTATTGGCCTGCCTAGTGGGGTGCAGTCCAGGGGTAGGTCAGGAGCCCTGGGACAGCTCAAAAAACCAAAAAGAAAACCAAAGGCACCATTGGGCCCTTTCCCCTGTCATTCTTGTTATTATTATTATTCTGAGCTAGAGTTTTACTCTTGCTGCTCAGGCTAAAGTCCAATGGCTGGATCTTGGCTCACAGCAACCTCCACCTCCCGTTCAAGAGATTCTCCTGCCTCAACCTCTCCAGTAGATGGGATTATAGGCTTATGCCACTATGCCTGGAGTAGAGATGGGGTTTCTCCATGTTGGTCAGGATGGTATCGAACTTCCGACCTCAGGTGATCTGCCCACCTCGGCCTCCTAAGGTGCTGGGATTACAGGTGTGAACCACTGCGCCGGCCATTCTTCTGTTTTCTACACATCAAACCTAGTCTTGGCTTTGCAGATCACTCCAAGCTTGTCTCCAGCTGGCGGACTAAGGAGGGCAATGGAGAAGCTCCCCAACCCCCAAACCCACCTCTTCCTCCTGGGAGCAAAACTAACTCTGGCCTGGCTCCAGATCCCTCCCACACTGGACTTAGGAAACCCTCAGCACAGATAACAGCCCTGCATTCCCCACACCGCACCCACACTCAGCCACTGCGGGCGAGGAGGGCCAGACTCCCGAAAGCTCAGGTGAGTGACATGGTGGAATGGCCCAGGTCGCCCTCACCCTGCTCAGCTTCTGACTCCAACATTCCAGAAGCCGAGGCCTCTGCCATTTCCGCTTTCCCCATGGATATCCCATTTCAATCAGACAACCCTGGCCAGGCGTGAATCCCCCTCCCTTCCTTTTTTTTTTTCCCTCGGGGGGGCCAGGTCTTGCTGTCACTCAGACTGGAGTACGGTAGGATTCTGGTTACTGCAGCCTTGAATTCCTGGGCTCAATCAGTTCTCAATCAAGCCTCTGGAGTAGCTGGGACTACAGGGCCTTGCCATCCTTCCTGGATAATTTTTCAAAATATTTTTTAAAGGCCGGACTCGGTGAGCACGCCTATAATCACAGCATTGGGAGGCCAAGGCAGGTGGATCGGGAGGTCAGGAGTTCGAGACCAGCCTGGCCAACATGGCAAAACTCTGTCTCTACTAAAAACACAAAAAATTAGCCAGGTGTGGTGGCCAGCTCCTGTAATCCCAGCTATTCTGGAGGCCGAGGTAGGAGAATTGCTTGAACCCAGGAAGTGAAGATTGTGGTGAGCCGACATCATGCCACTGCACTCCAGCCTGGCCGACAGAGCAAGAGTTCGTCTCAAAAAAAAAAAAAAAATTATATATATATATATATATAAAGATTTTTAGAGATGGGACTTGCTATGCTGCCCAGGTTGGTCTCCCAACTCCTGGCCTCCTAGGGTCTGGGATTACAGACGGGAGTCGCCCTGCGCAGGACCCTACTCCTTCTGAGTCATCAGTTTTGCTCATTCCCACACCAGGCTCTGGCCCCCAATACCAGCTAGTTGCTCAATGGGCTGTGTTTGTCTTGGAACCCAGATGGACTGTGGCTGGGCAAACGGATCACAGGCCTGGTCGACCCGGGAGGTTTCCAAATGTGAAGGGCCCTGAGGGGGTCAAGGAGAGGAGCACCGGGGAGAGGAGCCCGCTGGGTGGAGGCTGGGGTCTCAGCAGGAAATGGTGAGACAAAGGGCTGGCAGGGAGACAGCACAGGGAGGCCTAGAGCTTCCTCAGGGCAGCTGGAGTCTCCTGGAGACCTTCACACACCCTGATACCTGGGCCCCGCCCCGTGAGGGCACTTTCACTGGTCTGCACCATGGCCCAGGCCCTGGGATTTTGCACAGCTCTGCAGGTGAACAAAAGGTGCGGCCAGGCTGGGGAACCACCGCACTAGACGCAGACCTGGTTTTCAGCCCCAGCCCCGCCACTGACTGGCTTTGTGAGCTCGGGCAAGTCACTCAGCCTCCCTAGGCCTCAGTGACTTCCCTGAAAGTGAGAATTCTGCACACGGTGTTGTGATGATGTTAAGGGTGTGGGCCTGGCTCTGGCCCCTGACACAGGAACATGGAGCTGATCCAGGACACCCTCCGCCCACCTCTGGAGTATGTGAAGGGGGTCCCGCTCATCAAGTACTTTGCAGAGACACTGGAGCCCCTGGAGAGCTTCCGGGCCCGGCCTGATGACCTGCTCATCAGCACCTACCCCAAGTCCGGTAGGTGAGGAGGGCCACCCACCCTCTCCCACGTGGCAGCCCCCACCTTGGCCAGCCAGGTCGTACCCTCAACCGGCTCACCTCCCATCTTCCTCCCTCTTCCTCCCTCTCCAGGCACCACCTGGGTGAGCCAGATACTGGACATGATCTACCAGGATGGCGACCTGGAGAAGTGTCACCGGGCTCCCATCTTCGTGCGGGTGCCCTTTCTTGAGTTCAAAGCCCCAGGGGTTCCCTCAGGTGTGTGACTGGGACCTGGGGGCAAGGGGAGTGGAGGAAGACAGGGCTGGGGCTTCAGCTCACCAGACCTTCCCTGACCCACCGCTCAGGGCTGGAGACTCTGAACGACACACCGGCCCCACGGCTCATCAAGACGCATCTGCCCCTGGCTCTGGTCCCCCAGACCCTGTTGGATCAGAAGGTCAAGGTGAGGCTGGGCACAGTGGCTCATGCCTGTAATCCCAGCACTTTGGGAGGTTGAGGCAGGCAGATCACCTGAGGTCAGGAGTTGGAGAACAGCCTGGCCAACATGGTGAAACCCTATCTTTACTAAAAATACAAAAAATTGGCCAGGCATGGGGGCAGGCACCTACAATTCCAGCTACTTGGGAGGCTGAGGCAGGAGAATCTCTTGAACCTGGAAAGCGGTGGTTGCAGTGAGCCAAGATCACACCATTGCACTCCAGCCTGGCAGACTGAACAAGACTCCATTTCCAACTAAATAAATAAATAAAGATTAAAAAAAGATTTGCCACCTATGATGGCTCACTCCTGTAAGGCCAGCACATTGAGAGGTCAAGGTCAGTGGGCAAAGGTTTTTGTTTTGTTTTGTTTTTTGAGACTCTCTGTCTCAAAAAAACAAAAACACGAGTACAAAAAGAAAAACAAAAGGGAAAAGGTCCAGGTTGGGGCAAGTTAATTTAGGGAAGGAGGCCCCCAGTCAGCCCAACCTGGTCCTGTTCTTCTAGGAAAGTCGTATTACTTCCTCCAGCCTTGTCTCATCTTCCGTGGGGAAACTGTCTGCCTCTTGCTCTTATGACCAAGAACATAAGACTCTTCAGTATAAACCTAAGAAAGGTAGAGGGGGCTGGGTGCAGTAGGTCATGTCTGTAATCCCAGCACTCTGGGAGGCCAAGGTGGGCAAAACATGAGGACACGAGTTCGAGACCAGCCTGACCAGCACGGTGAAACCCTGTCTCTACTAAAAGTACAAAAATTAGTTAAGCATGATGGTGAACACCTGTAATTCCAGCTACTCGGAGAGCTGGGTAGGAGAATCACTTGAGGGAGGCAGAGTTGCAGAGAGCCAAGACCGTGCCACTGCACTCCAGCCTGGGCAACAGAGTGAGACTTGGTTTCAAAAAAACAAAAAAAGAAAGATAGTGGATGGGTCTTCACTGGCCCACAAAACTTAGGAATTTGGGGATGGTGGGAACATGTCTGGTGGAGCATGCCTTGCTCTAAATTGGGGTGTGACGGCATTGATGCAGTTTATATTAGTATAGAATATGGATCCAGGGACCAGGCTGGACTTTGACATATCAGCAGAGTTCAGATCCCCGCTTGGACCTACCTGTGCCATGAGATCTCAAGCAAGTCAGCATCTAAGCCTCAGGTTCCTCCTTTGCCAAACCAAGAGATGAGGGCCCTCTGCCCCTGCAGGTGGTCTATGTTGCCCGCAACGCAAAGGACGTGGCCGTTTCCTACTACTACTTCCATCGCATGATGAAGGTGCTCCCTGACCCTGGGACCTGGGACAGCTTCCTGGAGAAGTTCATGGCCGGAGAAGGTGGGTTGACTGCAGGAAGGAGGGTGTGGAGCTGAGGGGTGGTGGCTACAACACACGGCAACCCTGTGTCGGTGCCCCCGCCCGCTTCTCCAGTGTCCTACGGGTCCTGGTACCAGCACGTGCGGGAGTGGTGGGAGCTGAGCCGCACACACCCTGTTCTCTACCTCTTCTATGAAGACATGAAGGAGGTGAGACCACCTGTGCTGCCGCCCTCCATGTGACACCTGGGGACAGGCACCTCACAGGGACCCGCCAAGGCCACCCAGTCCCTTCTCCAGGCAGCCCCACAGCAGGCCCGGATTCCCCATCCTGCCTCCCTGGCCCAGGCCTCCCAGCTGCAGCCCCACCTGGCAGCAGGCCCCACACAGCTCTCATCTCCCACACCTGAGTCAGCTGCACAGGTGGCCACGGACCAGATAATTTTTTTGAGAGAGTCTCGTTCTGTTGCCCAGGTTGGTATGCCGTGATGTTAACTCAGCTCATTCTAACTTCCTCCTGCCAGGTTCAAATGATTCTCCTGCCTCAGCCTCCCCGCAAGCTGAGAGTACAGGTGCAGGTGACGACGCCTGACTAGTTTTTGTATTTTTAGTAGAGAGGAGTTTTTGCCATGTTGGCCAGGCTGGTCTCGAACTCCTGAACTCAGGTGATCCACCTGTCTCAGCTCCCACAGTGCTGGGATAACAGGCCTGAGCCATGGCCCCTGCAACGGATCAACTATTTATTCCTATTGCTTCTCCCTGCCAGAGGGTGTCCCACCCAGAGCCACAGGCATGGAAAACCATCCCGGTCCCCCCCCATAGGAGCCAAGCCCAGCTCATCAAGGGATCACAGGGCAGAGAGCAATTCATTTTACACCAGGGACAGGGCCCCGAGGGTCCAGGAACTGGCTCTGAGGGTTTTCTAGTGGAAGTGGCCAGATCCCCTCTGAGGTTAGAGAAGAGGACCCCTTTTACTTTCCCGAATCAGCAACCCCAGCCTCCACTGAGGAGCCCTCTGCTGCTCAGAACCCCAAAAGGGAGATTCGGAAGATCCTGGAGTTTGTGGGGCGCTCCCTGCCAGAGGACACCCTGGACTTCATCGCTCAGCACACGTCATTCGAGGAGATGAAGAAGAACCCCATGACCAACTACTCCACCCTCCCCAAGGAGTTCATGGACCACAGCGTCTCCCCCTTCATGAGGAGAGGTGGGCACCGGCCAGCACGGGGCTTTGGGGCAGGTGGGAGCAGCAGCTGGAGCCTCCCCATAGGCACTCGGGGCCTCCCCTGGGGTGAGACTGCAGCTTTGCTCCCTGCCTTCCTCTCCCAGGCACGGCTGGGGACTGGAAAACCACCTTCACCGTGGCGCAGAATGAGCGCTTCGATGCGGACTATGCGGAGAAGATGGCAGGCTGCAGCCTCAGCTTCCGCTCCCAGCTGTGACAGGGGCTCCCGGGGTCGCTGCAGAGGGAGTGTGCGAGTCAAGCCTGACCAGGGGGCTCAAGAATAAAGTGTTATTTGTGTTCAATGCAGAGCCTGTGTTGGAAGGCAAGAAAATCCCTGAGCTGAAAGAGTGATCGCCCACTGGGGCCAGAAACGGCCACCACCCTGCTCCAGCTCCCCCGCTGCCCTGTTTGGAGAGGGGAGAGGGTCTGGAGAAGTAAAACCCAGGACACGCATGGAGGGGAGTGTCCGTTTAATCCCAGCACATCCTCTGCTGTCCTGCTGTGTCGTCGGGGGATGGCGAGTACACTGGACAGCTTCACTTTTTCTTGGGCTCCTTACAAGCCACCACGTACCTCTGGGCCACATTGAGGGGAGGGGAATAGCCGTCTGCATAGGAGGTGTCTTCAAACAGGACCGAGTAGTCATCCTGGGGCTGTGGGGGAGGCAGACAGGAGGGGCTGCTCAGAGACCCCAAGGCCAGGACCCCTTCCCCCAGCCTAGACCACAGGAGCCTCTGGGCTCTGGACTCTCAGCCAATCTTGTCATTGTTCACTCTGGGGTCAAGAAGTGTCTCGGCCCAGTTCCTGCTGCTACAGAGCTCCTTTCTCAGTGGTGGGAGGTCCAGGGCAGGGAACAGGCGGGGAGAGGAAGGAAACTCACTCCCTTTCCAGTGGGGCTATAGCTGGAGGGTCTGCTGCCTTTCGGGGACTCTGTGTTCAGAGGACTGAAGGAAACCCAGAGGGTGGCAGGCAGGGATCCTGGCCTCAGGTGGCTTGTGTCCCATGTCACCTGAGGGGGCAGGAGCACCAGGGGACAGGAGCCTGGCACTCAGGGCAGGAGCTTCCCATCTCACAGCTGCTTCTCCTGGGGTTGCTGAAGGGAAGCTGCTGATTCAGGGCTTGCCAAGGCTGCCAGGGCTGCAAGGGGACAGTCACCTTTGGGGCTGGAGTGGAAGAGGGAGGGCAGCTGGTCGGTCCTGTCAGCTTGGGGGCTGTGAGATGAAGACAAGGGGGAGGGAGCAGGGAGAAGACCCCCAGCCTGTCTGATGAGCCTGTTTCTGACATGACCCATGGCCTCTCCACTGGAGACTGCTTTACCCGCTGTGGGGGTGCGTGGATCAGGGCGCGGTAGAAGCAGGTGGTCTGGGGATACAGGGCCAGCACGAGCTGCTCCTTCTGGAATAAGGCCTCAGGGTCTGTCTCGGGGTTGGCCTTCCACTGGGGCAGTGGGATGACCCGGCGCCGGCTCAGGGTGTGTCTCCTGGGGGTAGGGAGACTAGTGTCAACCTGTGGCCAGGTGGGGAAGCTCCTTCCTGGCTGTTAGGCTGCCCCCCCGCCCACAGGCTCTGTGCCCTGCCCTGGCCTGGACACTCACTCTTTGCCTTCTTCATCGATGTCATCTACTTCATACCTGCGGACAAAAGGAAGAAAACCCTGGGTGCAGCCGGGGTTGTGGTCCCTGTCGGGGAGTGAGGAGGGTAGGGGCAGCCCAGGCAGGTGCGGTGACCAGAGAGCATTCCTGGGGCTGGTGGCACTCACTTGTTGGTGGCGTGGCTGTAACTGACCACCTCGGCCAGGATCCACTGCTCGTCCCCATCCACAGCCTTCACCCGGGCAGCCACCTTGTCTCCAGGCCTGGCCACGTAGTCCCCTGAGGCAGGGATGGCCCCACAGAGGGGTGGGGGCCTGTGAGTGAAACTAAGAATCAGTCCCAGCCCCTGGGCACCAGCCCCTCCCTTGCAGCTGCTGCCTCACTTGTCACCAGGCTTCCCAATCCACAGGGGCAGGGTCATGGCAGACTGTTGCAGCAGGGTCATCAGCACCCCTCTGCGCATGGTCTTCCGGGGCGGCTCCGAGTCATTGTAGAGACCCGCGATCTTGGCCGCTGTGGGAAGGAAGGAAGCCCTGAGGTCACAGGGACGGGTGCTGGCTTTAACCCCCTCTAGAAATCCAGCGGGGCACAGTGGCTCATGCCTGTAATCCCAGCAGGTGAGTGATCACCTGCACCCAGCTGTTGGAGACGACACTGGGAGCGCTAGCTCCTGAGTGAGCCCGAGGGCCTAGCAGGACTCTCACTCCATCAGCCAGGTGTCAATACTCATAGGGACTGCTGTGCTCAACTACAGATGGGTGAGATGGCAGCAAAGCAGGCACCCAGTGGGAGAAACCAAGAAGAAAGTGGGGTTCCAAGCATCTGATCAGGCTGTTTGTTGATCTGAATGGTGGTTACAGGAGTGTGTTCAGTTAGTGAATATTTCATGGAACTCTGCACTTATGTGTACTTTCCTTCTATTAATATATGTTGTAACTCAACAGAAAGTTAAAAAAAAATATATTAAGTGTGCACCTTCGACCTCTTCAGACACAGCGGCACACCTCAACTCCACACAGAACCTGGATGGCCACATGGGGACACTGATGTGCCAAGAGTCTGCCCACCGTGGGTTTGCTGGGAGGGCAGAACAGTAGGAGAGCCAAGGAAATGCAGGCTGAAGGGGTCTGGAAGGCAGGCTTTAAGACACAGTGTGTGGTTCTGCAGAAACCAGCCAGGGCAAGAGACGGGCATGGGCTGTGGCAGGAAGGAGCAGGCCACTGGCCTAGGCCCCAGAAGGGACAGGAGATGAGGGGCAGGCACAGATGACCTCGGGCTGCTGAGGGAGGACTGGGAAACCCCTGCCTCTGAGCACTGAGAATGATCTCCTGTCCCTTCTCAGGGGCAGAGCCAGTCTGCCAGAGCCTCCACGGGAAGATCTGAGCAGGCGGTGGCCGCAGGCCTGCACGGGAGGGTGACCACTGCCTGAAGGGCCTCCCTCCTCCTAGCGAAGGACCTCCTAGCACATCCTCTCCCACTCACCAATCCGCCTCTCCTCCAATAGAGACTTGATTTCCGCAATCTTGTCCAGAGCTTTCCGAAGGATGCTGAGGGCAGGGAGAAGGGAGAAAGAGGGTTTGGTTGAAGCATGTAGCATAGACTTCTTTCCCATTTTTTCTGTTTTGGGTCTCGCTACATGGCCCTGGCTAGTCTTGGTCTCTAGAGGTCCCCCCAGGAGCCCCTGTGCAGGTCAAATACAGGTTTATGCAACTTCCTGTTCTGGTCAAGGAGGTTTGGGTTATTTGGATCAACCCCACTGGTGAACACTAGAAATCCAGCCGGGCACAGTGGCTCATGCCTGTAATCCCAGCACTTTGGGAGGCCGAGGTGAGTGATCTCCTCAAGTCAGGAGTTCAAGACCAGCCTGAGCGACATGGCAAAACTCCATCTCTACTAAAAATACAAAAATTAGCAGGGCATGCTGGCGGGTGCCTATAATCCCACCTACTCAGGAGGCTGAGGCAGGAGAATACCTTGAACCCAGGAGGCAGAGGTTGCAGTGAGCTGAGATTGCGTCATTGCACTCCAGTCCGGGCAACAAGAACAAAATTCCATCTCAAAAACAAAACAAAAAAGCAAAGAAAACTAGAAATATTCAGTATGTGTTTTTTAGTCTTAAAAGTGTAAAAAACAAGACTGTAGGAAGCAGCTGGCCAAAAACTAAGAGAACGAAGGATCCCAGAGAGGAAAGCATACAGGTGAGTGGCCTTCGGCAAACCTGCAGAAGGGCTGCCCTGTTCTGGCAGCCTCTCCCCACCTCCTGAGATGAGGAGGACAGGGGCCTCAGGTCTGCCCGAGGGTCACGAAAAAGGAGGGGAGACTCTGGGGAGAGGTGCTGACTCAGAGCAGGGCTGGGTGGAAGGAACTCTTCCTTTCTGAAAGGATGCACCCCTGCATGGCCTTACAGCACCAGGAAGCCTTCCGTGAAGTTAGTTTATGGGGGGTCCAGGGTGGCAGGAACCCAAGGAACCCAGCAGAAGCAGCAAACACATAGCTTTGCTGGAGGCAGGCTTCTTCATCCTAAATCTCAGATTCCCAAAGAGTATTTCCATAGCAGGCCTGGGTGCGGTTGCTTATGCCTGTAGTCCCAGCACTTTGGGAGGTGGAGGCAGGAGGATCACTTGAGATCAGGAGTTGGAGACCAGCCTGGCCAACATGGCGAAACCCTACCTCTACAAAAAATAAAAAAATTAGCTGGGTGTGGTGTGTTCTGCCTGTAATCCCAGCTACTCAGGAGGTTGAGGCAGGAGGATCACTTGAGCCCAAGAGTTTGAGGCTGCAGTGAGCCACGATCATGCCACTCCACTCCAGCCTGGACAACAGAGTGAGAGACTTGTCTTAATCAATCAATCAATCACACAAGGGAAATCTGATACAGGAGAAACGTGGAAAAGACTAATTTAACCAGTGGAACAGGTAGTATCTTCTGCTGTCTAATAGAACTCACCAAGGACATTTCTTCTGTGCCAAAAGTGTAAACCCTGAATCCTACTAGTGAGGAAATGTCAGACAGTTAATACCAGTGTTGGAGCTCCACCCCAAATAAACAGAGCCTCTGGTACAGGCAGACTTGAGAACCACTGTGTTCTCCAAGGAGAGGAATGTAATGTTCAAGTTCCTAAAGTTACAGCCGTTGCACTACAGAGATTCAAGAAAACAATGTTTTTAGATCATTTTATTTTTTATTTTTATTTTTTGAGATGGAGTCTTGCTCTGTTGCCCAGGCTGGAGTGCAGTGGCATGATCTTGGCTCACTGCAACCTCCGACTCCCGGGTTCAAGCAATTCTCCTGCCTCAGCCTCCTGAGTGGCTGGGATTATAGGCATGTGCCATCACACCTGGCTAATTTTTGTTATTTTTAGTAGAGATGGGGTTTAGCCATGTCAGCCAGACTGGTCTTGAACCCCCGACCTCAGGTGATTTGCCCACCTCGAGATTGCAGGCATGAGCCACTGCGCCTGGCCTTAAGATCATTTTTAAAAGCAGCAGTTTTATAGAAGTGAAACTTCTCCATCTCAGAACCATAAAACCTTCAGGTCATCTGAGTTGACCTTCCAGCCAACCTTACAGACACATGCCACCATGTTCAGCTAATTTTAAAATTTTTTGTAGAGACAGTCTCACTTTGTTGCCCAGGCTGGTCTTGAACACCTGGACTCAAGTGATCCTCTAACCTCGGCCTCCCAATCACCTCTGTAATGCTGTGATTACAGATCTCAGCTACTGAGCCCCTGATATCCCTACTTTAATGACTGAATCTCAGCCAAAGTGACTGCCAAGGTCACAGAACCAGTAAATGGCAGCACTGACTCATGCCTTGCCGCTTTCTGTAAAGGCATTAGCAGCAGAGGTAACAAAAAGAGTGGGCCTAGCAGTGGGCTCCAGGGAAGGCGGGACCCAAGGGAGAGGCTGGAAGTAGGAATCGGCTTATCCATGGGAGGAAAGCAGGCTGGGGGCTTGGTCCAAATGCGCCTGTGGCCCAGTGCCCAGGTGAGGAGGGAGCGGCAGCGAGGTGGGCACACTCACTTGCACTCAGCCTCTGCATCGGCCTTGGCGGTTGTATAGAGGCCACGCAGCTTTGTCCGGTAATAGGGAGAAACTGCAGAGGAAACAGAGGAATAAGGAGGCAGGGCTGGGGCAGGCGCAGTAGTGTGGCGCTGCTTCCGTCCACCGCAATCACACTTGCAGAGGCACAGAGAGGCTGTGGCCACAGTCAGAGCTCTGCTGGCTCAGGAGTGCTCCCAAGGCGGATACCTGAGGCTCCAAGAGTCTGCATTTCATATGGTACAAATGCCATCACTACATCTGTGAGAGGACTGTCTGACCTTCTCCCCATCATGACACACACAGAAAATATTTGTTAAGACACAGGAAACCACAATTCTCAGAGTTACCCACAGTAGGAAAGCCCCAGCCCCAGTGTCTGACCTCCTAAGGGGCCTCAGGGCACATGGAGGCGCCGCCCGGGAAGGAAGCTCTGTTCTAGAAAATGCCCGCTAACTAGGCTGCTTACACAGTCTAAGGGGAACTTTCCCTGGACGCAGTCTCATTGCACTGCATTTCCAGTCCTCAGAGTGGAGGGATTTTAGTTCTTCAGGTTACCCAGACTAAGGGAAAGCTGTCCCTCCTGCCTCAGGAGCAGTGCATTTCTGAATATGCAGATACATGCAAATCCACTTTGAATACAATATCCACCTAATTCCCAGCCTTGGCCACACCCACCCACCCCGCCCCCATCTCATCCCCTTTCTCTCCTGAGCCCAGCTACTCACTCTTGTTCTCTGTCTGCATCCGCTCGTGGGTCTTCTGGATGTTCACTAAGTTGTGTTCGCTCCGCGAACGCTCTTCCTATAGGAGAGCAACAGGACGTGACGGAGGCTCTCCTTGCTGCCATGGCACCCTACGAGCCAGGCCAGAGGCCCCATCCTAAAAACATGACCCTCATCTTCTAAATCCAAATCCGGGAGAAGTTCAAGATGATTTTCTCCTTTGACTAACGCAAAAGCGTTACAAAAGGCATTAAAGGGCCTGGTGCAGTGGCTGATGCCTATAATCCCAGCACTTTGAGAGGCCAGAATGGGCAAATCACTTTCAGGTCAGGAGTTCAAGACCATCCTGGCCAACGTGGTGAAACCTCATCTCTACTAAAAATACAAAAATTAGCTGGGCGTGGTGGCGTGCACCTATAGTTCCATCTACCTGGGAAACTGAGGCAGGAGAACTGCCTGAACCTGAGAGGCAGAGGTTGCAATGAGCCAAGATTGTGCCACTGGCGCCTGGTGACAAAGCAAGACTCTGTCTCAAAAAAAAAAAAAAAGGCATTAAAGTTTCATCTTAAGTGATATCTTTAATGACAGTCCTTTATCAAAAAGACAAATCAATCTATACAGTCAATGCAATCCCCATGAAAATTTTAGTTAACTTCTTTGTAGAAATGGACAACATCATCCTAAAATTCATATGGAAATTCAAGGGACCCAGATTACACCCAAGAAATCTTGAGAAAGAAAAAAAAAAGTTGGAGAACTCACACTTCCCATTTTCAAAATTTACTGCAAAGCTACAGGCGGTACTGGCATATACATTAATAGAACAGGTTCCAGAGTCCAGAAACTGACATATACAGGTATGATCAATTGATGCGGGGAAGAAGGGGTAGGGAAGAACGCTGCTGCAATTCATCCCATATCAGTGGTCCTAGGACCAGAGCTGCAACTGCAGATGCTGGAAATCAGGATGGTTCCTAAGCAAAAAATTATGACTATGCTTTGTAGCCTTCATGTGAGAATTTTTAAGTGCCTAACGGGTGGGTTGTGCCTTTACCTCAACCTGCAAAATAGGGTTAACAGTGAACATGGCTGCCTAATGCTCGAGAGAGCTGATAGTGTGTACCTGTGTGACCCTACCCTATATGAACAGGAATGGACTGGGGTTGGGGAGACACTTGTTAGACTAGTACTGCTGCCGCTGCAATCTGGACCAGCACAGTGGCCCAAGCTAACATCCCTTCCTTTTTTTTTTTTTTTTTTTTTTTTTTTGAGATGGAGTTTCGCTCTTGTTACCCAGGCTGGAGTGCAATGGCGCGATCTCGGCTCACCGCAACCTCCGCCTCCTGGGTTCAGGCAATTCTCCTGCCTCAGCCTCCTGAGTAGCTGGGATTACAGGCACGTGCCACCATGCCCAGCTGATTTTTTGTATTTTTAGTAGAAACGGGGTTTTACCATGTTGACCAGGATGGTCTTGATCTCTTGACTTCGTGATCCACCCGCCTCAGCCTCCCAAAGTGCTGGGATTACAGGCATGAGCCACCGCGCCCGGCTTTTTTTTTTTTTTTAAGAGACAGAGTCTTGCTCAGTTGCCCAGGCTGCAGTGCAGTGGCTATTCACAGGCACAATCACACTACTGATCAGCACAGGAGTTTTGACCTGCTCCGTCTCCAACCTGGGCCAGTTCACCTCTCCTTAGGCAACCTGGTGGCACCCGACTCTTGGGAGGTCACCACATTGATGCCAAACTTAGTGCAGACACCTGATGGGCATAAAGCAGTACAGCCCAGAACTCCTGGGCTCAAGCGATCCTCCCACCTCAGCCTCCCGAGTAGCTGGGACTACAGGCATGTACTACTGCACCTGGCGCTAACATCGCTTCCAAAGGTCGAAAAGTTTGGGTGAAAACCAATCACAAATGGAGAGGAGAAATAGTAGCCAAGTTAACAGAACAAATTAAATGGGTTATGCAATGAGGGAAATACAGTATTGTATTTATAGCTCAAGAGAGGCTCAGAGTAAGAGAATGCCATCTCTTAGATCAGTTACATGGGTGCCTGAAAGGGTGAAGCCATGCATCTGTCAGGACCATGCCTGCTTTTAGAAGTTGACAGGTGAGATGGGAGTCTGGGAACCCAGCGGCAGCCGTCTGAGGGACACCCTGGTTATATGGGATGATGATAAACAGGTCTAACTGTGGATGACTGAATGGAATGCATAACCTGCCAGTATCTTTTTTTTCATTCATTCATTCATTTGTTCATTTTTTGAGACAGAGTTTCACTCTTGTCGCCCAGGCTAGAGTGCAGTGGTACGATATTGGCTCACTGCAACCTCTGCCTCCCAGGTTCAAGTCATTTTCCTGTCTCAGCATCCTGAGTGGCTGGGATTACAGGCACCAGCCACCATACCCGGCTAATTTTTGTATTTTTAGTAGAGATAGCCAACATGGTGAAACCCCATCTCTACTAAAAACACAAAAACAATTAGCTGGATGTGGTGGTGTGTGCCTGTAAGCCCAGCTACTCGGGAGGCTGACGCAAGAGAATCACTTAAACCCAGGAGGCAGGCCGGGCGCAGTGGCTCAAGCCTATAATCCCAGCACTTTGGGAGGCTGACGCGGTGGATCACGAGGTCAAGAGATCGAGACCATCCTGGTCAACATGGTGAAACCCTGTCTCTACTAAAAATACAAAAAAATTAGCTGGGCATGGTGGCGTGTGCCTGTAATCCCAGCTACTCAGGAGGCTGAGGCAGGAGAATTGCCTGAACCCAGGAGGCGGAGGTTGCAGTGAGCCGAGATCGCGCCATTGCACTCCAGCCTGGGCAACAAGAGCGAAACTCGGTCTCAAAAAAAAAAAAAAAAAAACCCAGGAGGCAGAGGGTGCAGTGAGCCAAGATTGTGCCACTGCACTCCAGCCTGGATGACAAAGTGAGATTCTGTCTCCAAAAAAAAAAAAAAAAAAAAAAATGTGTTTTTAGATAAGGGGCATTTTTGTTGGGTGCTAAAAATGTTCTGAGATTGATCATGGTAATGACTGCACAACTCTGTGAGTTGCGAAAAATCACTGGATTATACACTTTAAATGGATGTATTGTATGGCATGTGAATTCTATCTCAGGATAGCTGTTAAAATCAATCATGAAATCCTGTACACGGAGAAAATCCAAGAGGAATTGCAGCCATACCCCAAATTCCCCTCCTCTCACCTTTATGACATCATCTTGGTTCCTGCGTGTCCAATATCTCTGAACAGAAATGCCACCCCCCACTTCACAGCTCAGTGCATCAAAGCCTGTGTTCCCATCTGAGAGTGAAGGGTGGTGACTTTTTACCTGGGTTTGCTTGATCAGCTGATGGAGTTCTGTGAGAAGTTCTGCAATTCGGGAATCGGCAGACACGAGGGCCATTGTCTACAGGGGTACCTGGTGGGGGAGTGAGGACAGAAGAGAACTCTGTTAGTGGCTGCTGTGGGCTGAACTGTTCCCTCTCAAAAGATACATTCGGCCGGGAGGCTCACACTTGTAATCCCAGAACTTTGGGAGGCCAAGGCGGGCAGACTACTTGGGGCCAGGAGTTCAAGACCACCCTGGGCAACATAGTGAGACCCCATCTTTACCAAAAAAAATTAAAAACATAGCCGAGCAAGGTGGCACACACCTGCAGTCCCAGCTATCTGAGAAGCTGAGGTGAGTGGATCACTAGGGCCTAGGAGGTGGAGGCTGCAATGAGCTACTACACTCCAGCCTGCCCAACAGAGTGACACCCTATCTCTTTAAACAATAATAATAATAAGAAGAAGAAGAAGAAACATTGTAGTCCTTTTTTTTTTTTTTTTTTTTTTTGAGACAGAGTCTCGCTCTTGTTACCCAGGCTGGAGTGCAATGGCTCAATCTCGGCTCACCACAACCTCCGCCTCCTGGGTTCAGGCAATTCTCCTGCCTCAGCCTCCTGAGTAGCTGGGATTACAGGCATGCGCCACCATGTCCAGCTAATTTTTTGTATTTTTAGTAGAGACGGGGTTTCACCATGTTGACCAGGATGATCTCGATCTCTTGACCTCATGAGGTTACAGGTGTGAGCCATTGCACCCGGCCAGATACATTGTAGTCCTAACCGAGGTACCTGGAATGTAATCTTGCTGGGAATTAGGATCTTTTCAGAAGTATTTAAGATGTCACTAAGATGAGGTCATAGTAGAATAGGGTGTGCCCTTAATCCAGACACACAGCCAGGTGGGGACAGAGGCAGAGATGGGACTTGGACTGCTACAAGCCAAGGGATCCCAAGTACTGCCGGCATCCACCTAACCAGCTGGGACAGGCACATGCCTGTAATCCCAGCACTTTGGGAGGCCAAGGTGGGAGGATCATGAGGTCAAAAGATTGAGACCATCCTAGCCAACATGGTGAAAACCCGTCTCTACTAAAAATACAAAAATTAGCTGGGCGTGGTGGCGCGTAGTCCCAGCTACTCAGGAGGCTGAGGCTGAGGAGAACTGCTTGAACCCAGGAGGCGGAGGTTGCAGTGAGCCGAGACCACACCACTGCATTCCAGCCTGGCGCCTGGTGACAGAGCGAGACTGTCTCAAAAAAAAAAAAAAAAAAAAAAAAAGATAATTAGAACAAGAGTAAAAAGACAACCAAAAGTAACCAAAAGTATAACTAGGTGAAAATGGACATATGCCTAAAGATAAAGGCATATTAGATAAAATAAGGGGAGTTTTTTTAGGGTGCTGAAATTTTGCACAATAGCCTGCATCTTAACAAAGTTTGTTCAGTCTGGGTGCAGTGACTCAAACCTGTAACCCAGCACTTTGGGAGGCAAAGGTAGGAGGATGGTTTGAGTCCAGGAGCTCAAGACCAGCCTGGGCAATAAGGTAAGATCCTGTCTCTATTTTTATTGTTTAAAAAAAGGTTGTTCAGCCGGGTGCGGTGGCTCGCGCCTGTAATCCCAGCACTTTGGGAGGCAGAGGCGGGTAGATCACAAGGTCAGGAATTCCAGGCTAGCCTGGCAAATATGGTGAAACCCCGTGTCTACTAAAAATACAAAAATTAGCTGGGCATGGTGGCATGTGCCTGGGTGACAGAGTGTGACTCCATCTCAAAAAAAAAAAAAAAAAAAAAAATGTTCAACTAACACATCCTCCTACCCACAGAGATCAGATTCACACTGAATGGAGTAAACTCTTCCCCTCACTTAACAAACTGTGAACCTCTCCCCATGTATTTATTTGTATCTTCTTACAGGCTCTGCTCCTGTTATTTAAAAGTATAACAACATACAAACTAGGAATAGAGGGGAACTTTCTCAACCTGATGAAGGGCATCTATGAAAAACACACAGCTAATATCAGACTTAAAGGTGAAAGACTAAAAGCTTTCTCCTAAGTCAGGAACAAGACGAGCGTAGGTCCCTGTCATTTCTAGTCAACACGGTCCTGGAGGCACTAGCCAAGGCAATGAGGCAATAAGATAAACTAAAAGACATCCAGATCGGAAAGGAAGAAGTACAGCTATTTCTATTTGCACATGACATGACCTTGTATATAGAAAACCCTAGGGAATCCTAAACAACTATTAGGACTAAGAACAAGGTTAGATCTAATTGCAAAGTTGCAGGATACAAGATCAATAAACAAAAATCAATTGTGGCCAGGCCCAGAGGCTCATGCCTCCAATCCCAGCACTTTGGGAGGCTGAGGCAGAAGGACAGCTTGCAGCCAGAGGTCCAGACAAGCTTGGGTAACATAGCGAGGCCCCTACTTCCACTTTATAAATGTTTTTTTTTTTTTTTTTCAGCCGGGCGTGGTGGCTCAAGCCTGTAATCCCAGCACTTTGGGAGGCCGAGGCGGGTGGATCACGAGGTCGAGAGTTCGAGACCATCCTGGTCGACACGGTGAAACCCCGTCTCTACTAAAAATACAAAAAATCAGCTGGGCATGGTGGCGCATGCCTGTAATCCCAGCTACTCAGGAGGCTGAGGCAGGAGAATTGCCTGAACCCAGGAGGCGGAGGTTGCGGTGAGCCGAGATCGCGCCATTGCACTCCAGCCTGGGTAATAAGAGCGAAACTCCGTCTCAAAAATAAATAAATAAATAAATAAATAAATAAATTTTTTTTTTTTTTTTTTTTTAAAGGCTACAGTAATCAGTATGGCGTGGTACTGGCATAAAGACAAACATCTAGTTCAATGGAACAGAACTGAGAGACCAAAAATGGCCAAATAATTTTCAACAAGGGCGTCAAGATAAATTAGTGGGAAAAGAATAATCTTTTCAACAAATGTTACTGGGACAAGTGAATATCCACATGTAAAAGAATGCATCTGGTTCCCTACCTCAGCCCACACACAAAAATGATCTGAATAGACAGTTCTCCAAAAAAGACATACAAATGACCACCAAGCACATGACAAGATGCTCCGTATCATTAGCCATTGGGAAATGCAAGTCAAAACCACCAAAGACACCACTTCACACCTACAATAAAAAAGAGACAAGAGTTGGGAAGGACGTAAAGAAACTGTATGAATACATAAAGTATGATATCCGTAGAGTGGAATATTACTTGCTAATAAAAAGAAAAGAAGTAGTGAGACACGCTATGACATGAATGAACATTGAAAACATTATGCTAAGTGAAAGAAGCTGCAGTCATGGAAGACCACATATTGTATGTTTCCATTTACATGAAATATCCAGAATAGCCAAATCCATTGGAAGCTGGGTGGGAAATGTTAGGGGAAAAGACAGTGACAGTTAATGGGTATGGTTTTTTTTTTTTGGCCAGGTGATGAAAATGTTCTAAAATTGTGCTGATGGTTACACAATTCTGAATATACTAAAAACCAACGAGTTGCATACTTTAAATACGTGGTACCTGGCCACCATATCCCCAGGCAAGTATTATTTACTTTCTGTCTCTTTCGATTTGCATGGTCTGCACTTTTTTTTTATGAGATGGAGTCTCGGTCTGTCGCCCAGGTTGGAGTGCAGTGGCTCGATCTCAGCTCACTGCCACTTCTGACTCTCAGTTTCAAGTCCTTCTGTCTCAACCTCCTGAGTAGCTGGGACTACACGTGCGCACCACCATGCCTGGCTAATTTTTGTATTTTCAGTAGAGACAGTGCTTTGCTATGTTAGCCAGGCTGGTCTTGAACTCCTGACCTTGGGTGATCCACCCATCTCGGCCTCCCAAAGTGCTGGGATTACAGGCATGAGCCACTATGCCAGGCCTACCCTTGCTTTTTATTACTAATATTCCATTGTTTTGCTATAATACATTTTACAAATCAAGTCGTGAACTGACGAACATCAGGTTACGTACATTTTTTTGGCTATTATGAATCATGTTGCTATGAGCGTCATGTGCAAGTTTTTGTATGGGCATGTTTTCTTTGTTTTTCTTTTTTTCTTTTTTTTAGTAGAGATGGGGTTTCACCATGTTGGCGAGGCTGGTCTCAAACTCCTGACCTCAGGTGATCTGCCCAACTTGGCCTCCCAAAGTGCAAGGATTATAGGTGTGAGCTACTACGTCTGGCCAGTTGTCTTATTATTGACTTGTGTCCTTAGAAGCACATGGTTTTAATTTTTATCAAGTCCAATTTCTTTTTCTTTTGGTTGCTTGTGATACTGATCTATGTTGTCTCACATGTATGACGCTTTTTACCACCACAGCTTTACATAACGCATTGTCATCTAGAGAACATATTCCCTTAGAAACATTTAGAGACCTAGGAACAGAAGCTGCATCTGTGTCTCGACATGGCAGTGAGACCAGATGGTGGATCCTGGTGCCACTACCCTCAGGGCTTGTATACTGTAGGGAAGGGGTGGTTCGGAAGGGACGAACCAGACAACTGAAGTACGATTAACCCCATCTCTCCTACTACAACCTCTGCCTCTGGGTTCAAGTGATTCTCCTGCCTCAGCTTCCTGAGTAGCTGGGACTACAAGCACATGCCACCACGTCCGACTAATTTTTTTTTTCTTTTTTTTAATTGCATTTTAGGTTTTGGGGTACATGTGAAGAACATGCAAGATAGCTGCATAGGTACACACAAGGCAGTGTGATTTGCTGCCTTCCTCCCCATCACCTGTATCTGGCATTTCTCCCCATGCTCTCTCTCCCCAACTCCCCATCCCCCACCGTCCCTCCCCTATTTCCCCCCAACAGACCCCAGTGTGTAATGCTCCCCTTCCTGTGTCCATGTGTTCTCATTGTTCAACACCCGCCTATGAGTGAGAACATGCGGTGTTTGATTTTCTGCTCTTGTGTCAGTTTGCTGAGACTGATGGTTTCCAGGTTCATCCATGTCCCTACAAAGGACACGAACTCATCATTTTTGATGGCTGCATAATATTCCATGGTGTATATGTACCACATTTTCCCTGTCCAGTCTATCATCGATGGGCAGTAGGGTT